CTGCGAGCTCGGCGGGACTGCAGTTCCACCTTCTGCCACGTAATGTCGCTCTCGAGCTGGTAATTGATGGCTCTGAGATTTCTCGTCCGGGTCCCTGCGCTGTGAGTTGAGCGGCTTTTGTTCGCTTTGAAGCTCTGTAAACTGTCACGAAATGCTCAACAGCGCCGTATCACAACAAAGTGCTGTTAATAGCACACTTGTCTGTGGATGTAATACAAATGCAGTGGGCACAAGTGGGGTGGCTGTGTTTGCCAGCTTTAATCCAGTTCTTGGCTACTGCTGCTCTTCTCAGTTAGGCTGCAGAGCTGCAGGCAGTGCAGAACTCGTGGATCTTTCAGTTTGTATCAGGGTCCTGATGTGGTTCTGTGCTGTGAGTCTCCTTGCTTATTTGGCAGCACGTGGCCTGAACTTGGCTGGCTGGCAGGCAGGGTCTGCGGTTATTGTGAAGGCATCTTTGAGACCTCAGGGGAGGAAGAAAGGTGGATGATTCCACCTGCTGGAATCGTTCTGCAGCTGAGGCCAATCTGACTCACAGAGACAACACCTGATCTCTCCATTTCTTTTGGATGAATGAACTGTGGAGAAAGCAGTCATCCTGAGGACTGATAGATTATAGAGTCAGTGACAAGTAATGATAACCACAATTAGGCTCCTCTTGCTGCCTTCTTTCTATAAGCTTTTCAAAGAGCTTATAATAAACACTCCTTCCTGTTGTGTTTTTTTTTTCCATAAGCAATGTAAAAATTACCTACAGGTTACAGGGGAGGAGCTACTGCTTTGCTTAGACTTATGAAAAGAAACAGTGGAAAAGGCGGGATTAACATTTTGTATTGTATCTTCTTAAGTTAGTTAAAAGTGAGAACTGGTGTGGAAGGCAGTTCCAGACAGTGTATAGTTGGGTGCTGAGATTATTGCCGTGGGAAATAACAAAGCCAGTGAGTTTCAGAAGGTCTTAGAAATAATTAATGGATCTCAAGGGGAGGCTGAGTTGTATCCAATGACATCTGATCAGTAGGCAAGTGATCTGCCTTCCAGGAGTTTTCCAGGAGGTTCTGGTCATTTGAGTGATCTAGACCATGTCTGAACCTTGGTGGCAATGCCATGGTGCTTGTTTGGGAGGTGCTGCTGCACCAAGTTTTTTATGCCATGTACTTCTAGAGATAAGGAGTAAGAGTGTTATGTTTCTAGCAGGGCTTCAGAGAGACTGGAGACTTCAGGGAGCTTAGGGTACAGATTCATCTGTCATTTCTTAATCCCCGTGAGTACATCCTATGAAGGATTTAACAGTGTTTAGTAGGGAGGCTTTCTCTGGCAGTACTTTCAGGCCTCATTTGGTGGCTTGTTTGTGTGGCTGTTTTGGGTGGTGCTGAGTGGTGACTTGTTTCTGTACTGTTTCACAGCAGAAGGAACAGCTGCTTTGCTGCAGTCCTTCATCTCTGCAGAAATGCTCTGAAGTCTGTTGCTGCGAATTTCTCAACAGTGGAAACTTCAGACCCTGCCCTTGGGTTTTAGTGCGCACTTGTGCCTAACCTTTTCTGCACTGGTGCATGAGTTTTTTTCCAGCAGCCCCCAAGGACTGGTCTATCTTCAAGTGTTTGATCTATAGTGAGATTCACATAACATCCTTGGGCTAGTTAGAGAGCTTCTTTGTGGCCAGGGCAACAGTATGTGTTTAGAGCTTCAAAATGTTCCCTTGCAAGGAGAGATGAAAGGCTGGCCAGTGCCTTGTGGCTTTGAAACGGACTTCCCAACTTTGACATGATAGGAGCAAAAGCTGCTGGAGATTGCAGAATAATCAATCTATAGCACCTCCAGTGCAAGCACCACGGTATTTTTTTTTTTTGTCTGCATGCAGACTTGAGCCCTAGAGGAAAAAGCTGTATTTTTTTCTTTAGCAATATGTTACTTCTGGACTAATATCCCATATTGAGGCTCTCACAGGCTAAGGATTGTACTCTTGTGGGACTCAAAGAATTATGAGGCACATGGGAGGAGAGAGAGTGAAGGCAAACTAGTAACTCACTCCATTGAGGACCCCTACTACTCTAAACCTGAACTTGTAATCTCAATTCTTGAACTTGACTTAATTCCAGTTACATGTTTTTGATGTTACTAAAACATCTTCATGCTGCTGAGGTTTGGGTTTTTTCTTGCTGCTTTTCATTTGTCTGATTAATTTCAACATGGACCCTCTTTAAGTGGCTCTGATTGCAGGAAATTGCCGTGGCAAGTGACATGTGTCACAACAGTACAGTGATTAAAGCCCCCATGTGTAATTTACTGACTGATTGTGCTAATTGCACTGAGAAAGTGGCAAGCATGCAGAGCGGAGCTGGCACTCCTTATTGTTCAGGATTTTAAGTATCATGAATTAAGAGTCCAAATAAATGATAGTTGAACTGGAATTTGTCAGTTCCCATCCTTCAAAGCTTGCAACAAATACGTAGTGTGTAATATTGGGAGGCAGGGTTGGCTTCCTCCTGTTTAAAAACTACACTAAAAACAAATGGAAGCAGAGAAATTTTGAAAGGCTTTGCTGCTGAGAAGATCAAGCTATCATCTGGAGTACAGTCTTTGTTGAAGTGTCTGTGAGCTCTTGCTCTTTTTAGTCTATTTTCTGTTTCTGCAGACATGGTGTGTATATGTACACCATCACTCCAGAATGATAATCATCTTCTATTAATACTGTGTGGTTTTGTGTTGTATCTCTTACTTCTCCACAATTAGAATTAATTTGGAGTAGAACTTCCTGGTTTCATGAGGTTTCAGCCTCTTCTTGCTTTCGAGGCTTCCTTAGAGCAGGATTGAGTTCTGTGTTGCAGAACCTGTTGTTGGGCAAATCTGACTGTTAGAATGGCTTATGATATTTGATGGATGTTGGCTGGGACCTAGTTGGTCAGAGTCAGTTACAGAAACTTGTAAGAGGAAATGATGATCTGTACACACTTGTAGTGGAAATGCAAGTCATGTCCTGAAACAGTGATGGAAAACCTGGTGGGAAGGCAGGGCCAACCCAGAGGAGCTCAGGTGCGTGCAGTGTACTGATGGAAGTGATGGAGCTGGGATGCACCCCTTCCCAGCCCTCATTTAAGGGTTGGCAGTATAGGTGAGGGGATCTTGCTGGAGATCCCTGTGTACCTGAGGCCTTCTGAGGGTAAGCAGCTTTTTCACTTTGTTTCGTGTCCATGGCTGCTGTGCTTGTTGTTCAAGTATTTCCTGCTGGCAATTTCTTTCCAAGCTAAGAAGTGGAAACCTGTACAGTCACTTTGAGTAATAGGTCAGTTTGTTGTAGCAAAAAGTAGAATCTCACTACGGAACAGCAGCTTGTTGTTAGGAGTCACAGATGCTCAAACTGCAGAGCATTCTGACTGGGGAAACAATGATATGAAAGGGCAGAGCAGTGGGAATGGGGAAGGGATGTATTCTCTGGGTAAGCAGTCAGCAAGAATTGAGAACAAAGAGTGGTGGGGAAGGAAGGGCTGGTTGCTGTTGTGGTTGCTGTGACCTCATTAACAAAAGATAATGTTGCATTAGTGGGAGGCTGGGATAGAAGAGGATTTGCAGAGCATGTCCCTGGAGAAGATGAGGCAGGCAGCTGTTTGGTCCTGGTGTCCTTTGTCAGCCTCCTCCTCTTCTGCATTTTTGCTGCATGGAAATTCCTCATGCAGTTCCTTATTAATACCTCACAGCTGGAGCAGAGGAGAGGTGTGGTGCCTTCTCCATTGAAGGAGGTTGCCATAGCAGCTGGGCTGATTCTTATCCTGCTGAGTCCCTCCAGAGCTCCCAGCCCTGCTCTCTCTGATCAGCACAGGTGGGGCAGCTTGAGTGCAGTGCTGCAATAGGCCAGAGGGGCAGGGCTGCAGCCAGGGCTCCTGTACTTTCTCTGTGCTCAGTGTCCCATTTGAACTTAAAGCTCGGTGGTTTCCCTCTTGTCTGTGGTAGTCTGACAGTGAATGTGTGTGAGGACCTTCAGTTTTATAATCGCCGTGGCAGATAAATATCTTTGTATTGTTTTGCATTCAAAACAATGGAACTTTTCATGGAATTTTGCTGGAACACGTGTATGAAGATTTTTCCCATGGCACGTGTTCCCAATTGGTCTGTTGAGCTCCTCTGCTCTGAATGCGTCATAGCATTTCTAAAATAAGATGGCATTGTTGGCTTCTTTTTTTTTTTTTTCCTTGAGTGTGATTGAATTACAACTTGCATAAGATAATGGGGCTCAAGCAGTTTTCAAAAGGGGATGTGGCATGTTTTGCAGTAGACTGGTAGCTGTCAAATGAGCAAGCTAGTGACCATTACAGATCTGCCTAGCAATTGAATGGGATACAAGTGACTGTTTCACTCCACAGGTCCAGTCATCAGCTATTGTGCTTGAGTGGAAATCTTCACTTGTACAGCAGGTGCTCCTGGTTGTCTCTGTGGCTGCAGCTGTCTCCCTTGTTGCTATTCAGTCCTTCATTGTCTCGTGTCCATCCTCAGACCAGCCTTTGCATACTGAGTCTGCGGAGTTGCTACTGCCCTTCCCCATCCAACTGCAAGCTTTATGTCAGTGATGTCCTGAGTCTGTCTCAGGGATGCAACAAGTACTTCTATAGTTCATAAACTTGCTGGTAGTTATCATGGTGGAGAATGTATGGAAATATGAGCAAAACCATTTTTGTGTTCTTGTTTCATTTTATTTGGGAATAACAGATCTAAGTAGTGCAGTCTCTTAGACTTGAAAAGTTGATGGATCTGGGTAGCTTAGCTACAGGCAAGTAGCAGTGGTGCACAGTTGTAGCAGTGTGTTAGGTGTTGGAAACTGATGAGTTGGAAGGATCTCATTACGCCAGAGGAGTTTTAGGTTAGACATAAGGAAAAATGTATCTCAGAGAGTGGTCAGGCACTGGAATGGCTGCCCAGGGAGGTGGTGGAGTTGCCGTCCCTGGCAGTGTTCAAGAGGTGTCTGGATGAGGTGCTGCGAGATATGGTTTAGTAGATTGTGGTAGCAATGGTAATGAGAAGACGGTTGGGCTAGATGATCTTATAGGTCATTTCCAACATTGGGATAGAATCATAGAATCACAGAGTCAGCGGATCTGTGGGGAGAGGTCTTCCCAGAGAGTGGCACAAACCTCTGTGGGTAGAGGTGGTGAAAGTGCACCAGGAGCTTCATGCAGTGAGCCAGGCTGCGTGTGTCTCTGAGTATAGCTTCCCAACTCAGTAGAATGACATGGTTCTTAAATCTGGCATCTGCTTCCCTACGATGAACTGGAAGTGCCCTCTGTTGCCTAGGAAGTGTAAGAGTACTGAAAATAAAAAGGGTAAAAGGGTGGAGAGAACAGAAGATCATCGCTTTGAACTGGGCTGCAAAAGATTTCAGGCTTGCAGCTTGGAGACTGCAAAGCAAGGAGCATTTAAAAAACAAACAAACAAAAAAAAACAAAAACAAAAACAAAAACAAAACAAAACACCTTACAGCTCTTGTTCTTTGAAAATAAATGACCCCAGCAGTTCAATTCACTCCTACTGAACTGGAGGCTTCTGGGACTTGCTGTGAGTCTCACATTGACGTCAACAAGTGCAAATGTAGATCTCAGCTGGCTCTGATAAATGGTGCTGCTAATTGAATTAGAGAGCACTCCGAGCCACCAGCTAATTATGCTCCTCAGGAAGCTGCTTTGTCCAGGTCCATTTAATTCTATATTGGCTGAGCACCCCTATTCTGGCACAGAAAAGGGGAAATATGTTACAGCTCCCTGCTGAAGAGCACATATTTTTCCAACTTTTTAGACTGAGCTGCCTGCCCATTCCAAACACTTGTGTTCTCATCCTTGGTTTTTCTATCATGTGCATTCTTAGTGTAAGAGTAATGATTCAGTCACCTTGTGCTAGAATATCATTACCCTGGTCTGATAGGTGACAGTCTCATTCCCTTCAGTGCTGATTTACTTATTTTATGAATAAGTAAAATAATTAGTTTTAGTTTATAAGTAACTAAGTGGAATAGCTAGTGGAGATCTGGTTGTTGCCATACCTCTGCATCAGAACACACCATCTAGATGCTGCGAAGCCCAGTGCTGTTTCTCCCTGGTTCAAACCAGGAAGCTGCTTTGCCCTTTCCTGTTTTTAGTCCTCCCCTCCATCTTGTCTGGGGAAGCAGCACTTTCAACGTGTCTGAGTGAACAAGAAGCAACAACAGGCCCAATGGATGTGGGTTTTGTGATGAGTTCATGAGCAGTTATCTACATCATGTTTGGTTTGAGCCTAGCCCAGCGGTCAAGGCACGACAGTGGCAATCTAGAGACTTGGGTTTCCACCTTGATTTTTGGGGCAAGTCGCTTTCCACATCTGACATTACGTCTCTGCTTAGCAGGTGCAGTTCTTGCCTGCATGTCACAGCACGTTGGACCATGCGTTTCTGAATTTGTCTACTGCTGCAGATGTGAGAAACTGAAGGGTCAAAGCAAGAGTTGTAGGATCCTTGATTTCTTACCCTTTTGCTTTAGGACAGGGAATGGATGCTGGGAGCAGACTCTCATGCTTGTTTTCCATGGTGCTGTTTGTTCCAGCAAGTCTGCTGCTGTGATGCACCGCCACTGACAGAACCCATTGGCAATCTGCTGGCGTGGAGTCGCTGCAGATGGACTCAGATTGTTTTCGACTCACAGTTTCTCAGGAATATGCTCTGGGGACAGGCAGGAGCTTTCCAGCAATTTTTTGCAGTGCCATCTGAATCACACAATAAACAAGTCCAAACTCTATTATTAGGCTTCGGAAGCTGCTGCCTTAGAGACAGGTTTGCTTATAAATATCCATTATTTTCTCTCTGGCTCTTCACTGGGGAAGCTGGCAAGAAAAAGATCTCTGCTTTTTCCAGAGTCTGCTTGCCCCTGCTGTTGTTGCTTCTTTCTACCTGAGCTCATCATCCTCCCTGTTCCAACCTCCCAAGTTCTGGCTTTGCTAACAAACATCTGCTCCAGTGTCAGCAGGGTGGCAGATGCCAGCTATTTTGGAAGGGGACAGCACTGCACAAGCAATGAGTGACTGGGCTGAGCCCTTGCCACAGTCACTGTGGTGTGCTGGTATGTAAACCAGCTGCTTTGGAGGCTGCAGCAGGAATACTGGGTCTTGTTCCATGCTCAACTTTGCTCTTTGGCGCTGAGGAAGCCCCCAAAGCAGAGATGGCCTCCCTTGGCTGGGTAGGGACAGATCTAGGACTTGCCCAAAGTCGGCGGAAATGCCAGCTTCTGGTAACTCTGCAGCAGTGCAGTGCACTGTCCAGGCTGTCTCACAGCATGAATATATCTGGTTTAATAGGACTGCTGTTTTATTGAAGGCTGTGAGCAGTCCTCATCCCAATGAAGCAACATCTCTTCACACAAAACCTGTACCCAGCACAGATCCCTTTAGCTTTCCCACGCCCTGTATTGCTGCTCTTCCTGCTTCTTTCAGTTATCTGGTGTGAGTACCTGTAGCAGCAGGGTGCATTATCTTCCCTTGCAAAGATAGCCTCATGTTACCCATTGGTGCAGGGACTTTGATTCAGCTTTCTGTCAGAACCCAGAGCTCCCCTTCCTATCTATGCTCAAGTAAGTGTTCTGCTGTACAGAGAAGCCCCAGAGCTGCTCAAACTATGTCCTGTGTTGTTTTCTGCATGTACAGGTTGGTGTAGAACAGCCATGACATGCCTTGGAAGTTTGGAGGAAGGGCAAAAGGGGTGTTCTTAAAGCAATTAAAGAAATAGCAAGCTCTGCTCCAGCGGATGTTACTCCCAGAGCTGTGGGAGTGCTGGTGTAGGATTTAAACTCTGAAAAGCTTTTCTTGCTGCTGTGCAGCCCTGCATTGCCTCTGTTTCCTCCAGCAGGGCCTGGCAGAACAGATGATGCATGCCAAGCCAGGCAGCAGAGACTGCTGCAACACAGTGCTTGGTGGAGGTATCATGCTTTTCACCCCACAACTTTGCAAACTGCTGCATCCCTGGAGCAGGGAGGAGGTGAGGGAGAGGAAGTTGTGCTGTGTGTTTCAGGTTGGGCACCTGTACATCTGTGTGCTGCGGCCCATGTCTCACAGACCTTTGCTTTGCAGAGAGCTCCTCCACAAATGTCTGGTCAGAGAACATGAAGGCTTTTCTCAGACATAGGTTCCAAATGCAGAAGATAATGGGCAGTGTCTTGAAGGTGATGAGCTGCTCAGTTCACAGTAGTGAGCAGAGCACTTCAGATAGTTGTTTTACTACTGTTATGGCAATAAGACTTGTTGAGCAAATGCTCAGGTTTTGCATTCTCTCAGGGAGAAAAGAATTTCTCTGAAGAAAATCCTAGCCTGGGAAAGGTATCTGCAGGTTTTCCATGTGCCAGGCTTGTGTCAGTCTCCCACCATTGTGTTTGTTTACATTGGCTTTTTGCGCAAGTGCAAGGGAGAGCAACCCTATCTCTGCTGTGATTTCTACATGCTTTGAAGGACACTTCTATTAAGAAAGTTATGTAGGTAAAAGCCAGCTCCTGTGTGTAGTATTGTCTGAACAGAAAAGGCAGGGGAAGAGAGGAGTGAGCCCAATTGTGAGCCATGCCTGATGGAAAACTGTCTCTATCCCACAGTCTGCAGCGTGTGTGTGAAAGGAGATGCTGACCTGAACCTTTGGACAAAATGGCAGGCATTCTTGAACAGCTCCATTTTCAGACCCTGTCCTTCTGTAAAGACAGTCTGACATCCTTGAAAACTGAAATGAGAGCTTTGGCCTGACCTCATAGTGGAGTCAGAACTCTGCTGCTTGAGGGCCTGAGCTTTTTTTCTGCCTCTAAGAGGGTATGTTTCAGCCCCCATGATCATTTAGCTTAGGTGAAAATTCTTATTAGTAACTAGCTGATTTGTTACCTGGGTAGTAAAGTAGGTATGCATTGCTCAGCAAAGAGAGGAAATGAGGCGTGTTTGTTAGCGGCTGCCACGTCTGCATGCAGTTGGCTGTGCTGATGGGCACTGACATCATTCACTGAACAAACGCTGGGTGAAGGATCTGCTGTTAAAGCAAACTGTGTCATGAGAATGGATGTTTCCTGCAAACAATGTTTTAAGATGAAATTAATGATGACTGAGAAATTTAAAACTTTTCTCTGCCTGGGGCAAAGCCAGAAGGAAACTTGCTTTCCAAGGCTGGGAAGTTTGAGCCTTTTAAGCCATACATTTGGGATACTGGAGTCTGGAGAACTTCTCCTTTTCAGTTGCCTGAGTGTTGACTCCTGCAACTCCCCTGCAAGCAGGACAGTGCTTATAGACTATTACAGAGAGGAAACAGGTATAGCAAGCCAAGGGCCTGTATGAAGCTGGAGTCACAAGGCAATTCCCAAGTGAGCCCTTCAGTATTGGGTACAGCAGCTTCTGGCAATTCCTGATGCACCCACCAGCGCGTTCTGCTGGGAACTGACAAGTTCTTCCACCTGGCCTGCAGCTCAGGATCACTGCTTCAGAGCTGTGTCAGCACACAAGTCTCCTTGCCCTCATCTGACACTACCCGTGCTTCTTGATTAAGTGGGAGAATTGGTGCACCTTCTCCAGGGAAACCCTCAGAAACATGTAACTGCATCAGACTGCTGCGCAGCACTGGTGGCCTGGAAATCTGCTGGCCTCACCCACAGAGTTGCTTGTTGGGTATTTTGATGTGAACTTGGGAATACATTTTGAGACTGGCAAGTTTTCTGCCAACAATGATTTTTTTTCTTTGTGATCTGGTTTTCTGCCTAGATTTTTAAAACCCCTTGAAGTTAGAGTTGAGTTTTTGGATGTTTTCTTTTGTTACAGAAGGGAGTGTTACTTTGTTTTAAAGCAACACTTTCACCTTTCTGAGTAAACAGAATTACCTCTCTATGTTTACAGGCAGCAAACCGCATAGGTACAGTCTTCTAAATCCCCTCTGACAGGACAGATCCCTTCAAGCAGATGTTTCAGCTCTGCCTACTGTCAGGTTGTGTCATGGTTTGGCCTGGTTCATGACAAATATGAACAGTCCACAGAACTGCAGCATTAACCCTGTAACTTCACGTGCATTGCATGATGTTATGATGTGGAATACTGATGACAAACCATGAAACTATGACAGGCTGAGGCCTACTTTAGAAGCAGGGAGAAGGGCAGTACAGAACACCAAGTGCAGCAGCTGGTCCTCAGTGCCTGAGCTGCCTGTTGGCTGATGGAGGTCAGATGCTGCTGGCATCAGCTGCCTCCCCTCTTAAGAAATGTTGTGCCTGCTTTTCTTTCTGTTTAGGTGCGCCTGAATTGGTGCTGGTTCATCAATACCTCACCTGCTGCCTTCGCTCCTGAAAAAAACACTGTTTTGTGAGAGCTGGAGAACTGTGTTCCGCGCTATTCACTATTGCTGGGTGAATTCCAACACAACCCAGGTCCCAGAGCGTTTGCTGGCTTTGGGAAAGCCTTTGCATAGGAACAGTGCCTGTGAAGGCAACACCCTGTGCTTGGAGAGACAGCAGTGGCTGCGCTGCACACGTGGCTCCTGGAGCCCCAGCCTGGGCCTGGTGCTGTGCTTCTGCACCCTCCTTAGGAAACCCTTTTTGTTGGGCGTTGTGAAGACCTGCTAGCTCTGTCCTAACATGTGGTTTCTGGAATCCTGTGGTCAGGCAACAATTGCCCCCTGAAGGTTGAGCAGTGATAGGATGCCCTTGTTCAGGTGCGTGATTTAATTTCAGAAGTGAGGGATGCTGTGAAAAGCAGCTGCTAAGTACAGGCCAGCTGACCTGGGATCTGCTCTGTAGCTGGTTATCTGAGCTCTGTGTGGTGCAGGAGGTCTGTCTGCTCATAATGTGGGTTTCCCTCATCCCCAGTGACCAGATGGGAATAGTGAGCCATGCAGAGATGCAATAAAGCTGCCAGAAGCTGCTTTCTCTTGAGTTTTTCTAGGCTTATTTTTAGGTGATTTACAGTTAATTATTTTGAAGGGGGAAAAAAAAATTGCTCTTTTGGCTTCTAAGAAACTGTTGATGTAAAAGTCAGTCCTTTTAAAGACTGGTATTCTGGGACAAGTACTCCAGGGAAAGACAAAAATCTGGGTATTTCATGCTAGGGCTCTATGCAACATATTCAAAATATAGCAAAAATGCATGGGGATTTTGTGCCCTGTGTGCTTTTTAGTATTCAAGTCTCAGCCCCCAGCTACAAGTTGGGGGTGATGCACCTTAGCTGCCTATTGTCTGTACTGTGGGAGCCTTGTGGGTGCTTTCTCTGTTCTATGGCAGGTGCTGGGACTGCTGATCATCAGTGAGGGGCTGTCAGGGTGCTGGCTCTCAGCATCCATCCTGCAAGGAGCACTAAATGCAGCAGCCTGTTGTCAACTGTTTGGGATACACTTTCCTGAGGAGCTGACACACATCTGATCTCTAGGCAGGCAGTGCTGAGTCAGAGCTTTGGCATGTTTTCAAATATGTGATTACTTTGAATAAACATCAATAGGGCAAGGTGAAGTGCTGGGGCCCACAAGTATGTCTGTGGGGCTTGAGGTTAAGGACCAAGGTTAACCAGAAGGACCGAAGGTCAGCTCACGGTGGCTCTGGGAGGAGGTCAGGGCCTTGTGTATTGAACTGCAGCTTGGCACCAGAGTGAGTGTATGACAACCAGAGGTGTTGGAGTCGTCTCCAGCCTAGTGGCCCCACTGGGCCAGGCCTGTGGGGCTGATGCCAGTGCTCTTGGCAGCAAAGGGGGATGTGCTGGTCTGTCCCCATCAGGAGCTCTGGGAGCTCTCTCTGCCTTCCTGAGAAAGTTTGCTCAGTGCCTGGAAAGTGCTTCAGAACCTTCCTTGGCTCTGTGCTAAATTACCCTCGGCTTCCTATAGGCAGTGTGGCCTGGGCAGATGTGTTGGCATGGCAACGGCCCCAGGGATTGTCTTGCACAGGGAGCAGAGTATGGCCATGCTCCCAGCTCATGTCAGCTCCCTGATCCCTGGCCGTAACTCATCAATCTCTCCAACAGCCCTTTGTGCAGCTACCATGATGCTAATAGGGCTCGGCCACTAATTAGCAGCATTATCATTAATGTCCTCCTGCTTTGCTCATAGCACAATGCTATCGGGGAGGTTAAAGCCAGGTTCTGTACACTGTGGGCAAAGTGCAGACCCCTACACCCAGCAACTGATATGCTCAGAGCTGGGCACGCCGCTTGCTGCCAGCCCTGTAGCGTTTACCCTGAGCCCTGCTCAGTTCTGCAGAAGCTCTCAGCTCTGTGCAGAGCAGCAGCACGTGGCCTTGCCGAGTGATTGATGCACAAACTGTTAACTGCAAGCAGAACAGCCCATGCTGGAATGGGGCAGGCAACCTCCTGACTGCTGGGGCTTTTGCCGTTTGGCACACGTGTCACAGTACCCACTCAGCAAATAAGCTGTATGCTGCTATACTGTACTTTTAAAAACAAACAAACAAAAAAAAAACAACAAAACAATCTGAGAAGCTGAAATTACTTAGTTTTTTAAGGGAGTGGAGGCTTTAGAGAACATGTGTTGGATCTGGTGCAGTATTTTCCATGCAAGCAGACACCTGGGCTTTCCTGAGAGCACTGCAGCACAGCTCTCAGCAGGCTCAGTTGAAAGGGTAATGTATACCCAGGTGATTTTGGTACATGGTGTTATTTACCCTATTGATGTCAGCAGCTGCATGCTCTCAGCTCCCAGCTTACAGGGAGGCGGGCTGCAGAGGGCTCATGATCTTCCCAAGAGCACCCAACCTTTCCAGAGATCAGCATATAATTCTCAGTTAAGTAAATGTCCATTTGTCCATTGGGACCAAATCTCATATTAGCTTTCCAAAATGTAACTCATTTTGTTTCTATTCTGTAAATCAACACCACATGACTTCTTATCAGAAAATAAAGGTGGTAGTGTTTTGATAAGTCAGTTCAGTAAGTACTGTTACCTAAAACCGTATTATGGTTTTCCTTTACGTTTTCCTTGCAGAAAATTTCTCCATTAAAGTATCTTTCTGAGTACAGAGATCTCTTATAAAAACATTTTTATACCCCTTCCTAATGCTGAGTGGCAGCTATATAGGAAATGGAGTTTTCCCAGCAGGGATACTGTTTGGGATCCTTGCTGGAAAGACCTGAAAAAATGGGCAGACAGTAATTCCTGAAATGAGCTGGAAAGATGAGGTCTAGTTTTTGAGTCTTGTTTTCTCTACACGGCCTTTACTAATACCAATGCTTGCCTAAGAACAAAGGCAAATAGGTGTCTAGTGGTGTGATTTTGCAGGTTGGGCTCAGCCAGAGTATTTTAGGCACTCCAGTATTGTCATGTGGTGCCATTGTTGTATGCTTCGGTCTGAGGTAGGCCTGTTAATGATGTTTTTGGAGTGTCATTTCAAACACACAGTAGTCCTCTGCTTCCCACACTCCATGCTGGTGGGCTGTGTGGCTCCTGGGGCTGTGTTCCTTGCTGAGGCCAGCTTTGTCTATGTACCTGGTGTGAGCATGCATGGCTGTTGGCAGTGAGGGGAGGGGGCTGCTCTGCGTCTTTGTGTGCACTTCTCAGCTTTGGATCTAGTTTCCTGACACTCATTTCTGTGCTGTCCCATGTTATTGTTTAGCTTTTATCTTCTTCCAGATACCAGGTAAAATGTTTCAATATCAGTTTATCAGTCTTCCTTTTCCTTTCTGCCTTGTTCCCAATGTCTCTGCTGTGCTAAAACACATGCCAATACTATTTGCTCTTTGTGCCCCTGTTGGCTGCTCCTCTAGTGGCTGAATCTGCCTCATTTCTCTGTTCTGCTTCCCAATTCTTATTCCTTTGAGGTTTTCTGTTCCTAATTCGCAGCTGATTCTCTGTAAGATTTACCCAATTAGTAATTTCTTTTCATCATATTTAATGTGAGTTTCCTGACATATCACCTCCCTTTCAGACATGCAATCTGACATTCTTGTCAGAAAATAAGCTGAGTCAGGAGAGATGTCAGCCTTTTGTTGTCCCAGTGGACAGCCCTCTCTGCCAGGCTGACCCGCTTGGCAATGTTCCCTCTGTGTTGTCCTCACTGGGGTCAGGACTATAGAATCTGTGGCATCGGCCAGTTACACACCCTGATTTATGGGGGAAAAATAATTGATCCTGTTTTGAAGCTCATTTTCTTGTGTAGGGGATTCTTACCAGTGATCAAGCAGTTATACTGTACTCCCTCATTAGCAAATACACGGATACTAATTTTGTTCTGCTTCCTGCTTGTCACATAGTATTGCATTCAATCACCCCTATGTAGCAATACCGAAATACACTGGCAAATCCCATCTCACCTTGCGTTCCCGGCTTCAGAACTGGGGAAATCTGCTTATTGGCCTGCTGTGCCTCTTTGTTTCAACTCTCTGCTTCTGAGGACTCCAGCATGTTCTGCACCAGTTCTTCCCTAGGCTTTCTCTCCACTCTTCCTTCAGCTAACGTCCCTCACTGCTACTTTGCTTTGTTCTGTACTGAAGGACTTGGGGATGGAGTTTTCTGAGGCTTGTATAGGATGTGTTCAGGACACTGGTGGAAAGTAAGCAGAGGATGAAGCTTGCACTCACAGAAATCACGCACCAAATTTAGACTAAGTTTCCTTGCAATTCAGATTGCGAAAGCCAATATAGCAGAAGTGATGTGTATGTGTCTGCTTTTGCCCCATGCACATATGGTGCTGACAGTCAGCTGCTGCCCAGTGTGGCTGTGTTCCCATGACAGCCCTGCCTGCTGATACATCTGCATAACCTCAGCCACGCTGCACGAAATGGAATGTACTGCTGGCCTGCAGTCAGTAGGGAACACTATGCAAGGGGCTTAAAGATGTGACCCTGCCTGCAGGCTGGAACTTAGTCCAGAGGGGAGGGCTTCTTCCCATCTCCACTGGGGTAAGAAGGGCTTAACCTTTACATTTTAGGGTGAGTGTCTTCCAGACAGCTTGTAAGGTTAGCTGAGGCAACCCTTTGAGGTGTGACCTTCTCTAGTTTTGCTTTGACTGCTAATAGCAAATATGTATGGGAAGAAATGTTCCTTTCTTCCTGTCCCATATGTAGCCTATCTGCAGTGTTGCTAGAGGATGAACAGCTCCAGGCTGTGCAGCTTGAGCACCTTCCTGTTGCCAACTGATGGTCAGGGGTAAGCAGGGCATGCAGGCAAAGCACCTGCATCCCTTTTGCTGGGGTCATCACATCAAACTGCATCAGGAGGCTCAAGAGGCAGCAGAGGAGCAGAGTATGTGGGAAAGCAGACACAGCAGATGCATTGGTCCTGTTGAGCTTGGTGTATGCTTATGGCACATAAGCATTTCTTGTAGTCTGAGCTCACAGTCTTGAGGCTTCTTGACACTTCTGATTCACAGGAATGTGGAATGTGATCAGTCAGTTGTTCAGTTTTTAACAGTACTGACCTCCTAGATCTGTTGCTGAGTGTTTTGTGTTACAGTGTGTCACCCAAAGTGCTGTATTCAGGTGCAGCTGTTTATGACCAGTTGTAGCTGAGGTCACTGAGCAAATGCAATAGGGACAGCAGAGTTTCAGTGTGGTAGGCCAGATGAACTTGCTGGATTTTATGCTGATTTTTCTTTTGGTCTCTGAGCATCACACATTTCTTGCTATTGAAGAAACCCTTGAAGTCACAGGAGTTACGTTAGAGATGTCAAGGAAAGAAATCTTGGGATGTTTTCACATGTGCACTTCTGTGACCTATCCTGTAATATACCTGTTGTTGCAGCTCTGTGGAAGAAGCTGAGATATAATGCTTTCCTTACCTGATCTTGTTTCCAGCTCTCCCTTTCCTTGGAGCATGGCATTGTGCTTTCCCACAGAGTCTCTCTTTGGAGTTGCCCAATTTTTCTGTAGACATAAGCTTTCAGCTTAAATTATAAGAGAACTGCTGAGGTTCCTTCTTTAGTTTTTCATCCTCAACAGGACAGTGGTGTAGGGCTTCAAGCAGAGGAATAATCTTAATTTTTCATTGTTGCTGCTTATAGTTGTAGAAAGATGAAGCTTCTCCTGTAAGAGGAAGGTCCTAGCTTGTCTTAGGCTCAAAGTAAGCCTTTTATACCGGCTCAGGGTAAAAGGTTTCAAGGAAAGCAGTGAATGGGATGTAATTTGTAAATTGTTGTAACTTGTTGAATTCTCAGAGTGGGGCTTCTTTTCTTAGGTCTTTAATGGGCCAGTTCAGTCTTACTGTCAGTGCAGAGAAAGGGAAGAGCAGGAAATAGGAGTTTTCAAATTAACTGGACAATTTTGGGCCAAGTGCAAATCTTGCTTCTGATTCCACAGAAGGATAACTTCTGCCAACTTTCCCTTGTTTTGTCATTTCACCTTAAAGTCATTTTGAACAAGTCTTCTGCTAGTGAAAGTACGAAGTACTGTAAGAATCTTGAGGCATCAATCTTTCCGGTCTCTGGAAAAGACTTCAGTGTCCCATCGACTGCCTGATTCTTTATTCTTCATTCACACAGCATTCCTAGGAATTAGAATTGTATGATCTACATTAAACGGCTTTTGCATAACCTCTTGGATAACTTATCCTGACTGATGTGGAGCAATGACAAAAGTAGTAGTGATTTTTTTGAGAACAACTTTCCTCTTTCGATGTCAAATTGATATACCACTAGCCTTGCCAGTTTTGGAGTCCTGCTCCAGAACCAAAGACAATAAAGACATGCAATTTTTTTTCCTTTGTGAAACTGTTAGAATGCCTTGCAGAGTCTGTAGTATCAACAACCCCATGTGTGTTAAAACAGTAGGAAGCCAAATAATTCTAGAGAATCCATCCTTTGCAGTAGGTGGTTTTTCTTTTTTTTTCTTTTTTTTTTTTTTGTGATTTGAAGCTTGGTGTGTCAGGGATAACTGCAACATAATATGTAAAGAGGCTGTTAAAGAACACTGAGCAGCAGAAGCCATTGTAGCTCACTACATATTTGAAAATGAAATGTATGTATTCTTTATTTTGTATCAATACACTGTAATTGCTTCACAGAGTCCAGCATATCAGTTGCATGTAAATACTACAGATGAACTTACCAAACTGGAGCTCACAATACTAGTGCATTTATCCCAAAGCAGAGACTAAACCCTCTAACTCCTTAAAAAAATACATTAAAGAACGTACCACACACACACATATTGCACTTTTCTCCATATGAAATTTTTACCCCATATACATTGCACCAAAGTCTCTTCAAAGGAGCCTGTAATACAAGATAATAAAGCTAATAATTACTCTTAACAGTAGTGTATGCTGTCATCTAATGTTAGACGTAACAGATTTGAACAAAGGAACTACTTTGAAGTAGCATGACTACAAAGTGGTGTCCAGTGGATACTCTGCTGTATTAAAAGGCATTAGAAGCCTTTTATTCTAACTGACTTAAGGAAATTGCATGAAATAGTAAATAGGATGGTGATTGACGGTAACAGTCTGAACTATATTCAAAAACTCCATAGCTTTCCCCTTAGCGGTACTGCGAAGCTCAGCTGAGCTTAGACTCATTGGCACATTTTGTTAAATGAATCACATAATTCTGCTCTTGAGTTATCACTGACTTCCAAAATGTATGGTATAATGGAGCTGCACAGGGAGGAAAGTGGTTATAGGCTTGGCAGTAAGCTAGCTCCTGATGCAAAACTGGGCCTGTTGCCACAGCTGAGTGTGTCCCAGTGATGGTTTTTGCTGCATAGTTCCTCGAGCACTTGTCTGATCTTAGAACTGCAGGATAGAAAAGGAATGAAAGGAAAGGACTTCTTTGCCTCTGTATGGGAACTGCTGAGTCATGGCCTGAACCTCTGATTGATCACCTGAGGCGAGCCATGAGTCAGCCATGGAGCACAGGTGAAGGCACTCCACCTGTGCTGCTGGAAGGGGTGGAGCCTGGCTGCACCTCTCCTAGACCCATATAAGAGCTGGCTACCAGTGGGGGAGGATCTCTTCTGGAGATCCCTCCTCTGGAATTTTGCAGCGAGCCCAGAATGAGGGTAAGCTTTCTATCTATTCAGTTTTTGTTATAATCTGCTTTGCCAAACTCTCTTGTTTATTTCATAATTATAACATCTTTATATTCATTGACTACACAGCCTCCTTTTCTCTTCTGCCATAATGATATGCCTGGTGTGTTATGCTGTAGTGGTTTTCATCTCTTTCCTGTCCTTTTGTCAGTCACTTCAGGGGGGCACTGAGGTTTCTATGTTCTGCAGCTATTTGCACTGTCAGAAAAAGCTTTAATTGTGTGAATTCCCTTTGAAAAGAAATGTGTCTATCTCAGCTATCTAAACAACAGTTTTCCAGCTCTCTTTTATCAAAAAAGTAAGTAGTGTGTAGATGTGACTGCTGTTCCTTAAACTTTCTTTTGCTTTTGCCTTGAGAATTGTTCTGATATCAGAGGTAGAAGTGAGCACTTAAGACTGAATTGGGCTGTATCAGAGCAGGCTCTGTATCAACAGTGATGACATCTCTAATTGTCATACACAGAAAACAAGGTACTTTCTGTCAGTTGTTAAACTCTTCCCTCCTTCCCAAAGCCTACAGTGCAGTGACTGAAGTCTATTCCACATTTAAGCGTGGTCTTATTGCTGTAAATGCTGGCTGATAATTCACCTTTCTGGTGAAAGAGAGTAGTTTTGAGAACTCCTTGTTGAAGTTCAGTAGGATCTATGGTCTGACACATACTGAAGACCCAGCCAATCACAAGTACTTTTCTTTTCTTCCTCCTGCTATCTCTCCAAGCCTGTGCTTTGCTACAGTATGTAAAAACACTAGAAACATTTGTCTATCCATTTTAAGTGACTACATGTCCTGAAGCCACTCTCTTTAGTTGTAGTGTCAAAATCTTTTATTTAACTTTAAACTTATATCGTAGAGAAATTTTCCAGAAAACAGTGGTCTCTACATGTGCCATCAGCACAGTTTCTCCAACATTTGTGCTTTAATGAATCTGCAACTGTGCTTAAAGTTTGCTCAGAAAAGGGCTGAAACTGTCTGGCTACAAGCTTCATCTACAGGAGAAAGATAGACAATAACCCACAACATTTGAAGACCTGAGATGAGCTCCAAATTAGTGATCTAAACTTACTGCAGATTCCTAAACAATCCTCCTACAACTAATATCTCCTGACTGGAAGTTCTGGGGACACAGCTGCTTGTTGAATTTTGTATTTGTTGAAGTAGTACATAACAGTTCTTGATGCTCAATATTGCTGTAATACTTTCAGTATATTGTATATACTGAGACACTCAAAATGCTAACAAAGTTCAATGTTACATTCCACATAGTGGAACATGTGCTCTGAAGGGACTTTGGCAGCAGCAAGGATGTAGATGGGGTATTGTCTATTTCTTCAGAAAAAAAAAAGCATATAGTCTGATGAAGAACTGAAAAAAGGCACAGCACTATCACTTCACAGGGTTTTTTTTTAAGCTCATTAAGTTCTAAAACTGTAAATAATTGTCCATATATACAAAGCTCAATAAACCACCAGCAACACATACTGCAAATTCAAAACACAGTTTGTTTGTTTCTAAAATGCCGTAGAAGGTCAGATAGATCTTCTCCAAGACAGAACTCTCCACAACAGTCTGTCTGCAGCAAGGGGTGATTTCCAACATCACCTAGGTAGATCTCTGAATGCCACTGGCTGCAGCTCTTGCTGTCTTTCTTAGCCTGTCCCTCTGCTACTAATCCTTCACCTTTCAGTATTCTCAGCTCCACCCAAAGCCTCTAGAAAACACTGTGATGCCCTGGATCAGTTCCAAGTGTCCTTTTATCAAGTCAGTACATTACTTAACAAATATCCAGAAGCTTCCCTTAGTGACCAATTAAGAATTCCTTGGCAGGCTTGGGAAATAACTGTTTATTTGCTAGCAGGAGGAAGCAGAGGCTGCCTGAGGTTCCTGGTGCTCTCTTAGACTTACCACAGAGCAGTCGCAGATCAGTAGCTTAACCAGAAACTGGATGCTGAAGTGCAACTTTCCTTTGGATCCACCTCACTACTGCTTCAGCTTAGTATGCTACTTGCTATCAGCTCAGACCCAAATTAAGTCTGAATTTCAGTGAAAACTATTGCTTTTATTGCCAAAAAGTAGAATGCAATATGCATTCGTTCTCTTTTCTCCTAGCAAATGCTAGGTGAACACTGCCAGACTATCAAAGTTTTTGGAAGGGGCCACTTCCTTTATATATATATATATATTTTTTTTTTTTCTCTCCGTCTACGCAAACTGGTTCTTTATGCAACCAAGCTGAACTGTTTGTCTAGCCCCAGCCACTGAAAGGAGAAGCTGGTGGCCACATGCTTCTAGCCATCTCCAGCTTTTTTCTGGCCAGGTGGATTTTTAGTTCCCTTGTTGACTGAAGGATCAGAAACTTTAGGGTTGGAACAAAGCCAAAAATTTACATGCTTCTCCATCCACCCTGGCTTCCACTCTCATGTTAGACACCCATGGTATTAATTCACCAGGACGTAGCCGCTGTGCTGGGGATCTACAGTTTCCATCATCTCACAATCAAAGAGTCCGGGCAGCTCTGAGAGCGTCAGTGCATCGTAGTTTGACTGTGGCTCCTGGGCTGCCAAGCTGCCCTGGCTGTCAGGCAATGCTACACTGCTCTGCTCTGCTGGGTCCATGGAATACTGGCACTGGTCAGGGTAGTCTGGCTCAGAAGAGGTGACAACAGGCAATTCACAAGTCTGATAGGAGTACTGTAAGGATTGTGGTGGCTGCTGCACCTGAATTGGTGATGACAATCGTGATGAGCTGGTGAGCAGGGAGGGCGGTGGTGGCTCCAGCTGTACTTTCTGGTAGTGACTGAGGAAGAGGTCATATTGTATTTGTTCTGAGGAAGGCTCCATGACAGGGCTTAGAGTCTGCTGGAGGCTGAACTGGGTTGGTTGCTGCTGTGCTGATGGCTGCTGCTCCTCCTGGCATGAAAGTGGCATTTGACTTGACCTTGGGTACGAACTCTCGGCTATTTGCATCTGGTTAAAATAGGCCTGCAGCTGGGACTGCTTCTGGAGAAAGAGTCTCTTCTGATGCAGTCTGAATCGAGGACAAAAACAGCAATTATTTTTTGGCTTTTCAAGTGTTAAGGCACTAGTATCAGTGCTGCTACACTTGCACTCCTACAGTTCCAGCAGGGAGCAAAGGGCAGAAATGGAAAATTCCTAGTCAACCTTTTTTATTTATTGAAATTTAGTGTGTGGAACTTGTGAACAGAACAGTTGTACTTTTCCAGCTACTAAGGCAAGTGAGCAAAGCTTCCCTCCCCAATATTCCTTCTATCTGAACTGCACTCCTCACTATGAAGTTTTACAAAACTTCACAGCTTTGACCTCCTTGCAAACTGGAAGAATTTTCAACACGGCATCAGGTTACACAGCTACCTTTGAAAATTCCTGTGATATGACAAAGGGGAGGTCTCTTGCCAGCCAATTCCCTAAGCACATACAAATAGGAAACCCGCTACTGACGTATGCTGATAGCATTCAGAAAAGGAATCTATTGTTTCCCAGCTTATTTCTCTGCACAGACATCCTAGTCTTGAATAAATGTATCAAGCTGCTCTGAATACTGTCAGTATTGTCAGTTAAGTTCTTGATTAGGATTAATCAGTTGTCAGGAGCGTCTGTGACCTATAAAGCAATTCTAGATTACATACTTCCTTGAAATCAAGTAGTATTTTCACACTTCTATTCCTTAATTCTTTTTGTTCCATAAAGAATGTAGCTAGGTGGCTGTTTTCCTTTCTCGTTTTCCAATTCTTCTGCAAAATTTAGTGACATGGACACGTGCTTAGTATCCTCTTTGTTTGCTTAATAATTACCAAATGATGAGCTCATAAAAACCTTACAGCTCTTTAACTTGTCAATTAAAAGCTTGTCTGCCATAATACATTATAACAGTTATAAAAAGGCACACTTCCAATCCATTCATTCCTTTTTTTTCTCTACAGTAACTTTTTCAAAGGAGCATCACTTCTGAATTTTCACTGACAAGAAAAACTCTGTTTACTTCTCATTTTCTTCACAGTAAGATTACTAGGTCATAGGAACAAGGTGGGAAATATCTAAATGAATGCAGAGCTCTCAAGCAGGTGAAAGGGTATGGAGCCATGCTCTGACCTACCATAAAAAATGCAATGTGTAGTGAGTGGTGGGGATGGCAAGGGAAAAGATGAGTACAACAGCGCAAGAAGTAACTTTCTGCTGTGCTTCCCCTTCGCACGCCAGCACTAAACAAAGCATGTGGGCATTGTCAGTCTACCTGCGCCCTAGTGGAATTGCAAAAATTGCAGCACAGCAGTTTGTAAACTGAAGGCAGGATTGTTGTCCTTTTTTTTTTTTTTTTAATAAGTTATTTTTTAAGAACTGTGACCTGAACAATTTTTAAGTGAATTTTTCCTTCTCAAGGAATTCCTAATCAGACAAAGTCTGTTTCAGTTCTTTCATTACTACTGAGAGTACGGATAAGTCACTTATATGTGTAGTTTGAAATCTTACCTGTGCTCCTGTAACTGCTGTTCCAGACTCCGGGGCAATTCTTTGCAGAACAGCTGGCAAGTGTTTGGAACTTTTGATAGTAGGGTGGGTTTCTGCAAGTAAGGTAGCACTGTTTTAAATTGTATTTGTTCAGTCCAGAATGCAAGTGAAAGAAGATTGCCTCGCCTTATGATGGCTTAAGTGTCCACCTTCATTTTCAGAAGCTGCCACTAGAGCTGCTGTCTAAAACCACAGCTATCACTGCTTACTGACTTCTATCCCTGGGAAAAAGAACATTTTTGATGATGGACTGTATCATACAAGTCCATAGAAAAAATTCTTCCTAACTGGAAGAGAAGCTGGGGAAAAAAAAAGGGGGGTGTGGGGAGAGGGGGAGTTTGGAAGAGAAACAGAAGATGGGTGGAGGCTCCTCAGATCCTGATGCATCCCCTTTTCAGGGTGCAACACAAGTATTCATTAGCAGCCACCTCAAATAGCTTTAATAACATTCCGCAGTAAAAGAACAAGTAGGAAAATTCCAGCAATACAGTCTGACTTTCCCATAATTAGAGTCGTTGTGCAATAGGAGAAACATACAGCATAATTTCAAATTCAGCTGTTCCCTGCTAAGATAGCATTTGACTCGAGAAGAATAATGGGATCTGAAAGGCCAAAGACACATGAACACAGTGCCTGACTGAGAGTGGTGGGGAAGGCATAGTACCTGGAGCCTGTGCTGCAAGTACTGTGTCTCTAAGCTCTGCCGTCGGGATAACACTGGGGTATGTGCACCACTGGGGAAAGTGGCCGCAGCCTCCTGCTGCTGAGGTCTTTCTTCCTGCAGAAAGAAGGAGGAAAAGCTTCATCCCCAGAAAAATCTTTTTCTGCCTAAACCCTTTCTTTGTGGAGTTCCCCTGGACAGAGATTCCATAGCTGCTGTTGGAGTTGGGTCCCGGTGTCACCCATCGCTTTTTCACTGCATGCTGAGCAGCCCACGTGACAAAGCTCTGAGCTATCTGTGCTGCAAACTGCCAAGGGCTTACATCTGTGACTAAAACCACATTATATATAACACTTTGAGACTTGCTTGCCCTCTGGAGTACTAAAAGTAAAGTGGTAGCAAACTGTGCAAAAGCATGCTCAGAGTTGAGTCAGCTGTTGTTGCACAGCTTCAGAACTGAACACAAAAAGATTTCTATAGCACTTGGGAAGGACATGCACAGCACAGGGGTGGGAGGGAACACTGTGAGCACGCTGGCATGCATATAGCAAGCAAGAAATTCTTGGGGAAACTTTACAACTTGTTGTCAGAACTGAAGTTTTCCAGCAGTCAGAAAGGAACAGCAGGCTTGACCTGGAGCATGGGTGCTTGCAGTGCATGTGTGCTGCTGGCCCGTTTCATTCACAGAGTCTGACAGAGATTTCACATTCCTATTTCCTGCGACCTGTTCCATTCCAAACACATAGTTAGGGAACTGGCAGGAGCAATTTGGCCTTTCACAACACAAATCAAGCTCTTATCACGTAGCTTTTGCACTCCTTAAAGTTATATATAGTGGAGGCTAACTCCAACATGGAAAGATGTTAATTGAGATTTGTTAAATCTGAAACATTCAAATTAAAAGTAATAATGAAATATCAGATTTGGAAAGCTGCCTAGATTCTCAGACACCCCAAGAATATAGAGGCTAACCTGCAAGTACCCATTCTCCATTCTGCAGGAGCCAGAGAGGAGAGAAAGGAGATGTGTCTATGAGCAGCTCTCCTCAGACTCCCCACAGCACCTCATCACCTCATCCCCCCCAGTCTGTCCCACAGCAGTGCACCTGGAGGGGACAGCTATGCTAAGGGTGGTACCTGTGCAGAGCTGGTAGCAAGGTCCTGAAGCTGGGGGGCAGCTGATGGCAGAAGGGGTTCTTCTTCTGATCTCATTTGCTCGTACAGTAGCTGGACTTTGTTCAGCTCCAAGATTCCTTTGGTTCGTGCCAGATTCTGGAGGTGCTGTCTGAATGCTACAATACCTGTAGAAGAGGTGTGCAAAAGCCCTCGTCAGAAAATGAGTTACTTCATGTCTGGTTGGCACAGCAGCACAAGATCAGCTGTGGTGCAGTCAGAGCCCTGTAGGAACACAGCAAGTTTAGGGCCTCATGGTTACCTTGTGTGAGGGAAGTGTCTGATGCTCTGCGCCCCTCCCGGAAGCTGACAGGGGAGCGGTTGTGAGTCTCACGCTTCTGGGATGCAAGAGCCTGCATGGCGGGGTTGGTCGGCCGCAGCCCCAGGAACGGTGCTGCCAGTGGCACCACATCCTTCAGCGGAGGGGCATCGCCTAGCAGGCCCACATTCCTCTGCAGTGACCCCATGTTGTACTCTGACTCTATGCTGCTGCCCAGAGAGGAGTTCTCATCCAAAGAGTAGACCTTGCCTGTGTCAAAAACCAAAAGCCAAAATAGAAGGAAAGTACAGCAGTAATTAGGAAATGCCATGGGCTCGAGCTATTCCTGCCATGTCCTCCATTAGAGAAAATGAAACAATAGAAGTAATCATAATATGTACAGCACTGGAATGTCTTGGGGTTTCTTACTACTGGTTTTTACATGAGTGCAGCAATAAGACACCATACAGGTGATGTTCAGTGGCTTGTTGAGAGTGCAATCAGTGTTCTTGCAGGGGATTCTGATGGGATCACAGCTTAAGCTGAAAGGCTCTGTCACCTTGCTAATTGGGCAGTACCCAAGAATCTGGGGGATTTTGCATGCCCTATCCTTCTCCTCCAGCATGTCTTTAGGGGATGAAGGGCTTGGAGACATTTGGTTATGTGAGAACAGCACAAGCAAACTCACAGGACCTCACCCATTGCTACTGGTACATGACCACAGCCAACTGTTTGATTGCTGCTCTGATTTCATACTGCCTGCTCAGCGGGTTTGGGGGCTGTGTGGAACTGATCTCATGCTTTGAGGTGTTTGTGTATGTGCGTAAGGCCCATACCTGTGCCTGGCACCACCACTAGTTGGTCGGTGACTTCAGCCAGGGTGTGACGCCGCTTCCCACTGCGAGCTGCCTGCAGGGCTGCAAATGCCTGCGCAGGGTCATCCTCTGCCTCGCCTTCCGTCTCTATTCCTTCGTCGATTGAGGTTTCCATCATGCTAGTTGGCAGTGACTGGCATCCCTTTCGAATCATCATGGGAGGCACGGGATCTAGCAGGCAGCCATTTACCTAAATACCACATGGAACAGACAGCTTTCCATTACTTGCACACAGCAGCATGCCAAAGTATGAGAAATCTCTGCCTGTCATGGAGGCTGAAGGCAGTTTTCCTAGAACCCATTGAGTTGCTGAAGAGTTGTACGAAACAAATCTCCCAGGTGGTATCACCAATGCCATTCCCCTTGCTATTGATTCCCTAAATCTGAATACTCAATTCCACAGCACTGAGTTCTCCATGGCCTTTCTTGTTTAAACCAAAGAAGCAAACTAATTTTGCCAGCTCTGCCACAAATACAAATATTTACAGAATTATCAATATTGTTGCTTCCCCTTGCTCAGTGCTCATTTATTCAAATTCCCAATGCTCATTTTTTGTTATCAAATAAGAACTATTAAATAAATGGTCTTTTTGTATTTAATTAATTGGTGTTCTTTCAGAGCCACAGAAGTGTATTCAGGATTGATATAGTAAGTGTACTCCTTCCAGCAGAAGTCCATTGGACTTGCACTGCTGTTCCATAAACAGAGTGAGTCTGTGGAGCCGCCTTCTTGAATTCACACAGCTTGTTAAATCTCCGAGCAACTTCGTCTGGTTTGAAGTTAGCATTGCTTCCCTAGCTGAAATACTGGCCCTTTCCAATCTGAAACACTCCTAGAATTACATTTCTGTATTTATTACTCTTAGTCATTTTGTCTTGAATTCTTTTGTACCTTAACCAATTCCATATGCAATTACTGGTGTGCTGAGGACCACGGTCCATGTCATACTGTTGGCATTCTGCAATACTCTAGAAGCTCTGAGTACTATCCCGCTGCACAAGCTTTGGCAGGCTCAGATTGAGCAAAATACGAATGAAACAGCACATTCATTTAATGTAAAACTACACTGCTGTAGATGATGCTACATAAGACTGGTAAATTGTATTCAACAGTGTTTTCTGGTATTTTGAAAATACATGTATTTGGAAAAGAAAGTTCACTGCATTAACAGTAGCTATTAACAGATGGTCCCAATAGCAGACTATATTGCAGTTACTCCAGGACAGTATTTAAAACAGTACTGAGAAATGCTTTCACTAATTTGAGCTTCAGTATAATGATGATTCTTGCATGGAAAAATTCTGCATCTGCTGCATCTATTTTAAATAGTAGCTGACATCCTTAAGCCTAATTTCCTTGCACACTTTCCATTTGTGACTTTCCCACTCAAAAGCCTTCTAGTGACATGGCAGCAGTAGTGCTGGAAAGAATATTTAGTGAACTGCTGGAATAGAAAGGAGAGCACATGGGCTGTCAGCTCTTTGCAGTTTACCACAGCATGTGGCTCAGAGCTCAGAAGTTTTAGCAGACATAGCATGTAATAGATAGACACTGAAATATTCCTAAGCCATTTGTGATTTAACACCTCACTGTAGTCACCATTTATTGATTTTACTCTGGCCAGATGTCATCTGCAAAAGCAATGGTGCATACAAAATTAAGTTTGAAAAGTTAATTTCCAAATCTCTTTGAAATACTTTTTGCTTTTCAGACTGTAAGGACCCATAGATGGAGTTAATTAAAGCAGTGATGAGAACCAGGACCACGTTCTCAGTAACTAACCAGCAACTGAGTAGTAAAACCCTCAAAATGGCAAGCCTGAGATCAGAACCCTGCCTGATAGCAGGAAAAGTGTGAAGTGCTAAAATTAAAGTTATAATGTGATATAACAGGAGAGAGAACAACAAAAATTTCACAGGAATAACACACTTCACAAATACAGTTCTTCTGAGCAATATCCTCATAAAAGCTGCTGTGTTGTACCCATGCTGCCAACCTCATGCATTTTACTTATTCTTTGCTACCTTGCAGAGTACTGTGACAGACCTCAAAGCTGGATGACAAAATCCATCAGACTATGACTCCCTTCATAGCTGAGCTGTAACTGTACATTTCTAGGGCTGCAGAGCTGACATATCACATTAGTTGAGTCAGCTTAATCCGTTAATTGTGGAGGTGCAGGAAACATACACACAGTCTTCCAGTCTGATTAAAGAAAGCAGAACCTATTAGATGAGATAGGCTTTTTTTTTTTTTTTTTAAACAGTTTTACTTTTTACAGGGATTTCCAGTGACAGGAATGGCCCATCTGAGAGCCCTACAACCTACCTGAAATGCTGAAGTTCTAGTAGGCTCTGACAGACTGGAGGTCCTGCAGACTATTTACCATTCAAAAGAAACTAAAAAAAATGCAACTGTTTTGACTAGCTTATTATGAAATTGATATATAAAATACTACACTTAAAAGATCTATTAATGACTTAATCACAAGCTTCCATTGCCAGCTGAAGATTTCATTAAACCCTCCTGTTCTCATTTGTCTGAATTGTTTGTGATTAGCTGAGTGGATTGCTCTAGATTTTCAGCACAAAGAACATGCAGGGAGTGCAGAGTCCAGCTCTTAGTCTGGAGGAAGAGCAGTGCACTGGTAGGAAGGGCTGCCAACGTGGAGAAGCAGCCACTGAGCCTCAGAAAGCTGTACAAGATGCAAGGCAATAATTTAAAAGGCAGCCATGTTTTACTAGTCTTACTGAATTTGGGCACAACAGTAGGGTGAAGCTAGGGTGTACCTTTGGTGTGTTGACTCTTTCTTCTTCCATAAATGCCGTCTCTGTTTGGCGGTTGGACGGAGGGAATGAAAAGACCTCTGCTCCTGAGGTGGAGGGAAGTCCTGGGGACCGTAGCAGCCTGGTGTTTTCTGAGCACAAGTTCACTGATGGCACCACAGCTTGTGCCTAAAAGAAATGAAAGAACTCCAAAAACTGAACAGTTTTAGATAGAAAACAGTGTACAAAGTCACAAATTAAAAACAAACAATTCCCATCCCACCTCCAAAGCGGAACTCTAGAATTCGTTCCCTCATTCTTGATGTATCACATTCTTAAACTTGGGGGGAAAAAGTGTCATTACACTAACTACTTATCGAAGCTGAGCACTTACTAGCAACGAGGAAAGTGGGACTCTTTGGTGCTCTCCTACATATGACATGCTATAATTCCTTTCTATACATATAACACCCTAAATATTACCAAGAGGATCAGGGCTGGTTTCAATGACTTCTCTAACATGCACTGATTCCTGCTGAAAAACAATAAGAAAGAATAGAACAGAACTGTTGAAAGGAGATGTGTGCATCAGTGAAGGCAAGCATGGCAAAATTAGGAAAATAGGATAAACAACCAGTGAAAGCCACTGTTTTCCTGACATGCAGGACACACAGAACTTGTCTATCCAAAATAAAACAAGCAGTCTTATACTGGAGCCTGTGGTGCCACCATGTGTAAAAACAAGCTACGTTGTTGCTCACGATATCACAGATCACAGAATCACAGAATCACAGAATCACCCGGGTTGGAAGGGACCCCAAGGATCATGTAGTTCCAACCCCCCTGCCTAGCAGGGCCACCAAACACAATTGCTTGCAGTCCTGAGAAAAAGCAGGAATAGTGGCTATAGAATATAGAAAACTTGAACATGGTACAATAATGAACTACCTCCTGTTATGTTCTCTCTTCCTCCTTGCTCATCTCTCTTCACCTACTTTTAATACATCTTATAATTAATAATCTGCCTTTGAATACCATGTCTTTCTGTCTTTAGATCTACCATCTAAGAACATAGCTGGTATTAACCTTTGTCAGTCAGATTTTGCATGGACTTGGGTTTTCATAGTTGAGGTGGTTTGGCTTTAATTTCAGCAGAACCTAAAAACAATGTTTTGCTGTCTTAAGCAAAACAGGAGCAGACTAGTTGCAATTTCTCCAGGAAGTGGGGCCCAGGTACTTGCTCCATACAGCAGCAGTACAGTACCTATGAGGCCATAAATTTGAGAGTGTATTTTCTTGAAATAACAATAATCTGAGTAATCTTAGGCCAAGTCTTTCACGTTTCCAGTTTTGCATTAATAGAAATTAAAAGCTCTACTTTTGTGTCTAGCCTAATGAAACAAAAGAACATGTTAAAAAAATACCTGAGTATTATTGGAATACGACATGATAAACTCTGCACGACCTTTCTTTCTGAAGAAAATCACAAGGGAAGAAGTAGACTGAATAGCTGCAGAGCCTGTGCTGCAACAGTCAGTATAGTTAGAAGGGATGCTAATTGGACAGCCATTTGCAATGGATGGGCTGACACCAGATGTAGGGAGCACACAACCACTGCTAATAAAATACACACAGCATTCTTAAGACTTAAATCAATTAGTCGTCTCAATAGCTCTGTGCTTGTCGATGCTCAGAGGTTTTGCAGCCATGCTGAGAAATCCCTTTGCTGCACAACAGGAAGAAAAAACGGCACAAACTTCAGCAGAAGTGACCTTATTTAGGAACATACCTGAGTTTTGAGCAACAAAGAGTCTCATGACAGTAATTCTCATATTTGCCATGTAATAACACAATGAATTAGTTTCTTAACCTGACAAATCAATGCTATTTTCTCTTGGGTACCTCTATAATTCAAGGAAACAGAAAGCATATCTAGAGAACAGCAGGTGAGAAAATAATTTTATTTTCAACAGGTCTTTTTGGACTGCCTCTGTTTAAAAGCACTCTGTAGAGCGTTCATGCTTTAGCCCCCATGCCAGCAGAGCCCTCCATAAATTATTTGTGGATCACTTTAAAGATACTCCAAGCATTGCACAGATTGTATTTCTCTAATACTCCAACCATTGATTTCCAAGCAAAAATTTAGAAATTCTCAAAAATGGAAGCTTTCCACTTTGAAGCACAAGCTTTCTCTTTAACCATATTGCCAAAAAAGCGCTGCCCAAAAGGACAAAAGGGATGTTAAGAGCAAAACAAAGAGAAGAGAGGGAATAAAGGGAACCTAAGGTTAAAGCACTCGAATACCTGTTTAAAGCTTAAACTATTGTTTGCATTTTGGGACTCAGAATGAAGTCAGTCAACTTTCACATCTGCCTAGAAAGAGACCTCACCTTGGCTACTGTCTGCTCAGCAATGGTGCTTGGGCGGCGCTGGCGAGCATCAAATCTCTGCTCTACAGGGAAGCTGCTTCGATGCGATTTGAGTCTTTCCACTAACAAGTAATAGATAGCAGCAAAGTGGTTATAACTCTTGTTCTGCAGTGACTGAAAAAGAAAAGTGTAAGAGTTTATGTGCAGTCAAATACAGGTGATTTTTTACATTCTGTGAGACCAAGAAGCAAGAATTGTCATCTCAGGAAAAAAAAAAAAAAAAAAAAAAAAAAGAAAGATACTGAAGAGGGGTTTACAGCATGCAAACATTGTTCTGGAGTTGAGAAAGTTTCAAATTGGAGTGCTAAGCAAAGTGTAAGAATCAAATGTTGTTTCTGCGTTAGAATTGGATAATATTTTTTATTTCATGGCCTCCACTGTCACAGTTCTTTTTGGGAGTCTTTCTACTTTACTCTGATAGTTTGCATCACTTATCCTCTAGACAAACCTTCCCTAGGAATGCATACTCAGTATACAGTGTATATATGTGTATTTTGTCATATCCATTGTGAGAATATCCTAAATGAGGATCAAACCAGAGAACAAGTCATGCCCTGCCCAAAGAAGCATCTGAAGAGACATCGGAGGGCCTGGCATCAGCCCCGCCTCCCCGTGCTTTTTGTTTAACAGAAGACTTTGAAGAAAATCACCGTATCAATACGACAAGAAGAGCACTGAGACATCTTGGAGACAACAGGATGGCTGCTGACTGACACCAGATAGCGCACCAATTAACAAATGTAAACTTTGATAAGATTATGAACCTGGAGCACCCAGCCGTTGGGGAAACAGGGGAGAGGGATAGGCAAAGGAGGAAACAAGGTACAAAAAGCTGTCATTGTGTCCTTAGAGGTGCTCCTGCTTCCGGGACACCTGCCATTGCAATTGCAAATAAAATCTGCTTTTATCAGAGACACCGTCCTGACAAAAATTATTTGGATATTTTCAACAAAAGCATCAGCTTTAGTATAGGGGCCTTTGTAAATCACGAGGCTCACGGTATTCCAGTGTGCAGCAGTACCTATAGCTAATGTTAAGGAGCAGTCCCAAGCCTTCAGAAATTTGAGAACAGAGGAGTGACCTCCTGAATGTACTGGCCATCCCAAATCACTAGAAACAAAAGGAGCCAGACCTCTATAACGCAGAGAAGCCTCCTCTGGCAGGAAGTACTCAAGTGCAGCCTCTACAATGGTTAAAAGCGTCAACCACTGTATAAAGAAATGACTGTGTTAACTCCACAAGGAGTCTGTTAGTATTTACATTTAGTAAGAAGCACAGGTTGGGATTGGAGGGAAACATGTAACTGCTTAGTACTTCTGTGATCTCCCTCTCCCTTCCATGGACAACTGCTCAAGACTGGTTTACCTCTATAGTCTTCTGTTGGTCTATTCCAAGGCTGTGCATTAGCCGGAGAACCTGTTCGTTATACTCTCCAATGGAAGGCTGGTTCTCCTGTTCTGGGGCATAAAGAACAGTTCTCTGGGCAGGAACTTCTATCAGCATCCACTTGTGTTCCTTAATCTGAGCAATCGTTAACCGTTTGGATGGGTCTAGGACCAGCATTCTTCTAATCAGATGCTCACAATCTGTTGGGGAGTAAAACACATTACCAGCCTGCTTACTGTTTGCATATTTTCACCTGACACCTCCCGAAAGAGCGTGACAAAAGGAAGCTGCCTCTCTTCTACTTGACTCCGGCACTAAAAACATTTCCTGAGGGCTACAACAATCTTTGAAAACAAGATTAAAAGTCACACAAGAGGGAAGAAAAAAAGACCCAGCTTCTTTAAAGCACAGTGCCATTACATCTACATAGCTCCTACACAAGGGGCGAGGTAACATTTAATAACTCTTTGAAGCTGCTTGTGCTTCCTGAGTGCCAACATTAACTGATAAAGCTTCAAAAACCTCTGGGAAATGTGTGTGGGGAAACAAGCATCTTCCTCCAGCATTCTGAAATAGCATGTCCAGGCTCATGGAACAAGCGGTTGGCAAAAGTAAGCTTTATTATTAAACTGATTACTATTAAAGATTTTCACCCCAATGCTCACAAAATGCATCTGTGGCTGTGAATAGTAGCCAATGGCAAAGAGCAGTTTTACCTGTTTTAATTCCAGGATCAAAGCACAACCAGTGCTTTAGGTGCCACAGTGATTCTGAATATAACAGGGTGTCACTGTTTTCTGACCACTACATATTCAACAGTACTAAAAAGAGTGATCACAGAGATCTCAGTTGGGTTCTGGGAGATGAGGGTACAAGAGATGAACACAGTTCTCATGCAATAAAAAGTCAGTATAACAATGTAAGTTAACTAATGTAAGCTTACCAATCTGTCCTGCATTTCCAGCTGACCATAAGATGCTATGAGCCAGCCAACTCAAATATTTATGACGGATAGTTTAGAGAGATTTCTGGCTATTTACTCCTGTTGATCTCTTTTGGTTTCCATGTTTTGCTAACAGGCAAATTCTCCCCACTCCCTGCAACACCATGTGATCAGCAAAGGAAGCTGCAAAGCTGGAAATGAAACAGCCCATCTGCACCTCAATCACAGCAACAGCTGACGTGTGGAATCAAACTCTGTAACTCAAGTAAGATTACAAAGCAGGTACAGTTTATTCAGTGCTGCACAGACACCGGATGCAATGGGGATAGATCCACCTAACTTGCAGAATGTAGGGCAAAACCTTAGTACAGATCTAGGCTAAACTAATACATAATCAATGATTTTCCCAGAATTTGCATACATATTCATTAAATTTCCAAGAGCCCACCGGTATATGGTCCCTCCCTCTTGCACATGCGCCGTGGGCAGTGGGGGTCTCCTGGTGGTCATGGGATGAAAGCTCATTGTCTTCAACAGAAGTAATCCCATCCTGACCCATTTGTTGTGTCATGTTTCTTCAAGTTTACAATTGAGTGTCGAGAAGTTATCTGGCCTCACATCCTGCTTACCTGCATTCCTATACATTGGTTAACCCTTATCTTGTCCTTTCCTTACTCACATTCCCCTACAATGGTTAACCTTCAGTTTGTCCTCTCCTAACTCACAGCTGCTACCTGCACAGAGGTTCTTGCATCTAGTTCACATGCTTATATCAGCAAAGTCACAAACACAGCACAACTCAGAGCAGGCTGCAGACTGTGCCCAGGAAGCTGAGGGCTTGCTGCAGTGCAGTGTTGCTAAAAGCGACCAAATAGCTGAGCTAACCAGATCAGCTGTACAATAGCAGCTATTTTCAGGTGCAGCATGCACTAAACACCACCAGAATGAAAAAGGGGTGGACCAGAATGTTTTGCACCACAGAATGCTGAACAACAGACTGAAAAATTATTTTTAATTCCCTTAAAACAAATAAACAAAATCCCATAAAAAGTAGAATACTGAAAAGGGATTTGATTCAGGAAAAGTTCTTTTGAAGTAATCAGGTTTGGAGACCCTTTAATAAATGGAAGCTGAAGGACACCATCAAACTGTGCAAAAATGGCCCAATTTGTTCTCATCTGAGAGGCACATGGCAGAGGGAAACCCAACAGATGGGGCAGTTAGGTAAGGCAGAGATCTAACAGTCAGTTGTGTCTGGGAGTGCCACAAGTACAAGAAGTTGGCATATGAATTCATCGTGCATTTCTTTGCTTTTGTTTAGCAGACACTGTCAAATGCTCAATCCACAACCTAGGAATGACAGTGATATTGCTGTCAGCATATTTTCTTCCCAGATTAAAATGTTTACGGCCTTGTAAAATGAAAGTTAATTGCTATACAAATGTGCCTCTCCCCTTATGTCCCCATATTCCTGGTCACAGTAGAATGAGAGATCCTTCACCTTCTATTTCAATTTTCTCCTTGTCTACGGACAAGCCACACTGCAATCTGCAGGAAGAATGGGCTGGTTTGCCTACCTAGGAGAAGTAGCCTAATTGCAAAGACATACAGCTCACCTAGGCTTTTACTTGTGTTTCTTTGCAAAATGAGAAACAATTTGCTGTACTGTAATCTGCTGGGCAGATATACCACCCTCACTGTACTGCAACAGAGATTATTCTAGAATTTAATCAAAGTTTAACATAGCAAGAATACAAGACAAGCCATTACCTTCTGACATAAAGTAAGGTATCCTGAACCTTCCTTCCAGAACTCGCTGCCTCAGTATGGGGAGCGTTGGCCCATCAAAAGGTAATGCTCCACAGACCAAAACATAAAGAACCACACCCATGCTCTGTAAGAAAGAGAATATTCCTTTCATTTTTCAGGCTTCAAGCAAAGTAGGTGAGCTTGGTTAGCCAAATCCTGTCACAGAAAAGTCTGTAAATTATGTCCCAGAGAAACAGGAAATTTATACATAGTAGAGTTAGAATTCTGAAGACTGTTAGACCTTAGAACACTAAACCCCAAGTGGCTAGGCTTGCAGTATCTGTGCCAATAAGCAGGTAAGTTGAAGCATAGCATGCTGGAGACTCTGGCTGCTAGCAGGAAGCTCGTGACAGATGACTAAATGAGACCTGCAGAGCAAGCCCAAACTAAGGTAAGAATCAGAAACTATTGTTCTGAATGTCATTCAAACAAAAGCAAACCTCAAACAGCAGCCACTTAAAATAAGAAACGTTTCACATTTACCAATTTGCCGAAACCTGGGTAAGAAACCTGGCATCCTGGTATCTTTATCAACAGCGATCTTCAGGGAAAGATGGATCTGTACTGCTGTGCACAGTACTCTGAGCATAGGGGATTGTGTAAAACGAACAAAAGGAGACAATCTGGGAAAGGGCTCTCATCCAATTGCCAGACTAATTTTGTGAAGCACGTAAGTTAATTGGCACTGCAAGTGGAAATCGTCCTGCAGCAGATGCCAGAAAAATATCACACCACACAAGATGAAATAGCCACAGCAAATGAAATAACCACACCAAACTCTCATGCCATGAGTTGCAGCAGATAGTCACAGCACTCAATTTCTTAGGAGGAAAAAAGGAAAACATTTAACATTTACCTTAAAACTTTTTAGAGATACAGAATCATCTCAGAAAATAAGTGAAGCTAAATTTCAGATAAGCTTTATCTGAACTATAAACAGTTGTGCTTTTCTTTGTGAGCAGGTTTATTCTGTTAATAATTTAGGGTCACACATACTTAGAAATATTTACCAAAGCTCAGAGATTCGCTTTTGATGTTCAAAACTGACACCTACTGTAGGCTTATTTGTCAATTACTGAAGATTCAGAAAGGCAATTGCCTATTTTTTTTTTTTTTAATATGTCTACATATATGTGTAGATAACATTTATATGTGTGATATGTGTGATATAACATATATATGTGTGATAACATTGATAGACAAATGCACGTATGCATCTATGTACATAAAAGCACAGTGTTTCTTTGTTAAAAGAACTAGCATCATTTTAATTAGCAGCTGAAAGGTGACCTTCTGTGCACTGTTTGCTTACCAGGCTTTGGCGAAGATGTCAGTGCCTACGTTATGAAGTGTGTAATAGTATCACCGCAAACCTAATACCAGAGCAGTGGCTGCCAAGTTGTATTGTGTCTGGTTGCTTCAGAAAGTGAATGTCTTGTAAGTAGCAGAATATTAAATAAATAAAAATTTGGAATGACAAAGCAGGCTGACAACAGATGAAGGGCACAGAAAACTTCTTTGGCTCAGTCTTATCCCTTTTCAATTGTGTAAGAATGAAGGTGACTCCCTTGCATTGATAGCACACAGAAAGATTCAGAAACAGGCAACTCAGAGAAGAAAGCAACCATCATCTCTCCATCTCTTCTGAGTTTCAGATGCTCTGAGTCCCATCAACTTCAGGAACAGGTTCAATCCCCACTTAACACAGAAAATACCAGAGGCACATAAACAGCAAAGTTCATGCATTCATACAAGGGAGATTTTGCAGGAGGTGCAGGCTTTCCTCTGATATGCTTACACAGATTTACAACATACACTTAACAGGCATGTAGATAGGTAACTTTAATTTTATCTGGTGTTAAGAGGCATTTTTACATCAAGGAGTAAACCTAAAGAGCAACAGTTATCTGCAGCTTAAGAAAACTCAAAGGCAATTCATTTACTCCAGCTTCCCAAAAGTTGACTTGAATCCACTTAAAATGAAGTAAATAAAATAGCAATACCCAGATATCCAGCTGGGGTCCTTCATATTGCTGTCCTTCAAAGACCTCTGGAGCTGCATATGGTGGGCTTCCACACCACGTCGTCAGAGGCTCACCACTCTTGTAGAAATTTCCAAATCCAAAATCTGTTGAGAAATGAAGGGGAAAAGTCACTCCAGATGCCAGCTGCATGACACACCGAATAATCGTAGGCATAGGCTGGGCCTGAAAGCTCACCTTCATTCATAAAAGGCTGTATCATAAATCCTTTTATCATTACTCCCACTGTAAGCATTTATTAGAATGCTGAATGTCCTCTACTGCTATTTTCACAATGGCATAATCATTAAAATATTCTACAACACCTATAGAAATTTTAAGTAAACTTGTAGCAGTTTGCTAAATCTGAGTTGATGAACAGCTATCACTAAAATTCAACAAAATGTCACGCATATGTACGAGCTTATTTACTTGCGAAGAGATACCTGAGCCACAGTGCTGAATCTGAGATATCCTGGGCTTTCTTTAGGTACTCTCTAGCCTTGAATAAACAAAATTGATAACAAAAGCATCAGTTTTGGAGATGGGAAGAAGGAACTCTGCCAAAAGCAACAAGCACACACAGCCTTCTGCAAGGAAGGAAGCTCTGCTCCTAGGATTGCCCATAGCTCTTTCAGTCTCTCAGTAAACCTTACTAGTCTACAACTGAGCCATTCTTTTAAAAGGCTTCCTACAGCTTAACATGAAACCAGACTTCCGGACTTCAGCATTACTGATATCAATCCAATAATTAAATATGAAATGACAGCCACAATTGAATAGAGAGATGAAGCCAGAAAAGAGCCTGCCACAAACGGTAGATTACCCTGTTGCTGTTTTCCTGAGTTGCATGGTTTTTTTTTCTTACTAGAACAAAACAGCAAACAACAGTAGCATTGAGGAAGCTGGCTTAGTAACTGAACCACAGCTGATCATTTTCAGAATGCAGAATTCCATGTGGGTGTTAAAACTCCCTTGCGTCTGATCTGTAGCTGCTCTCCTGTCAGTCACTTCACCTTTCTCAGTCTTCAGAGATCTTCACAGCACAGACCTTACAGCTCCTTTTATTTCCTACCATCACTCTCACTCTTTGCTTGGTTCATACATTAAGGGGGCAGTAAGAATGAAGAATAAAGCAAATGAAGGACCTCCTACATCCACTGTAGATACCCATTCTGAACACACTGCTTCAACAGCACTACTTGGTATTAAAATACAAGGCTTGTCTTACTCTTCAGGCTTTTAATAAAAGCCTCTGAAGTACACTATATGGATAGACCTATTCATATGCTGAGTCAAAATCCCAGCTCCACTTCCCATAGAATTCAATGGAGCCACATTTCTCTTAGTCCACTGTTCCCTTTGTGCTGCAGACACCCCATACGTCCCATGACACCCGAGTGCTGTTAGTACTAAAATAAAAGAGAAGTCCTCAAGGTGAGAGATCTGATAATAAGGAAAACACTCTTTGGATTTAAAACTTTCAGGCAAACTAGCTTCAGTTCACAAACAATTTGGCTGTATCTCCAGAAGGACCACAGAACAGAACATTACCAAGTGATTGGTGTGCAAAAACCATCAAGCACAGTGATGCTGTTTATGTTCATCCCTGAGCAACTACTGCTTGAACAATGGTTCAGCTGTTCCCTGCCCCTTCTTCCTCCACACTGCAGCAGAGCATGCAGTAGAAGGCTATAAGTTGCTTTGTGTTGCTTTTCATAAGTGATAACACTTACCCTTGGAGTTCCCACAGAGTAATACAGCATATTGGTGTGACTTGAGGAATGCTGTGAAAGTCAGCCATGTTGATATGCAATGGTCAGTCTGTTGATTTAGTCCTATCAGCTGCTGCCTGACTCAGAGGTACGTTAGTGTGTGGTGCTGCCAATCAGCAGATAGCAGTACAGATATACACTGTGGTTAGGAGACGCTATACTGGGCACTGCTGGTGCCTCTTTTGGTTTACGGGCTCTGTATCACTGCATGAGAGAATCCCCAGAGTCAGTCAATACGCAGATACTAAACAGAAAAATTTAGCAGGCTTAACAGTAGCACATAATTGCTTTAGAGGAGCTTGACTCTAGAAGTCTTTGATTGCTTTCCTAGTAAGTCACCAGAGCTCCAGTTTATTGAACAGCACTCCTGCAATATACATAACAAATAATGCAGGCAGAAGACACAGTATCAAGAACACCAAAACTGTAGAGTCTGAGAACACTTTTTGCCTTTCACGATTTTTCTTCAGCATGTACTAAGACACAAACTCCATCAAATTTGGTTTCAGCAGGTTCAGAAGTTATCTGGAACACACACACACAGCAGCATGACCTCATAAGCTTTTTGACTGTTGCTATTAACTATTTCAACTATGAGTTCACTAATGATTTCAGCAAGATTTGAAGAGATCCCAAGTCTTTTCATACCCCAGGTTAATTCTTCTCATCAAGAGCACCCCTTTACAACCTTCGTCACCTCTGCTTCACTGCTCACACTGCAGTGCTGAGTCTCTATTGTGTTAAAAAGGACAACTCTTCTGAGGAGGATATTCTTAGTTGTCTTTGATGAAATGTACTAATTAGGAATAATAGAGGAATTACGGAGAGCCAAGGCTACGCAACCAGCCAGCTCTCAGCATGGAAGTGTCCACAGTGGGTAGTGCACTGTAAGGTAACAGACTCAGGCAGGCAGTGGTAACTGTAGGTCTCCCAGTTATGCACAAATAGCTCATACTTTTCTGTCCTTATTTTGTGCCTCCTCTTTCCAAAGCTCAGTCTAATCTTAAAGGAACTGCTAGTTACAGCAGTGCACACGGCTCACCTGTCTTATAGCAATTCTAAGTGCTGTTCTTCCATTGTAAACACATCCTGAAGAGTACTTTGCAAGATGACTAAAACACTTTTTATTTAGGAATTTCAAGGGACTGATTGTAGAATTTGTCTCTTGTCAAGTGTTTGTGGGTGCTAAGGAGCGTTACAGCAAGGATGCTGAAATAGAGCAGGCTAGTTCAGGTAGAGCTCATACCTAGTTCAGGTATGAAATCAGTGACTCAGAGCAGGGCCAAGCATAGCTGAAGTGCCTGTCCATTCTCTGCACAGTGAATGGAAATTGTCCCTCTTTGTTGAAACCTCTTTCCTTAGCACTTCAACAGCTTGAAATCTGATGCTGCAGCTCTGCTGTAATGTTTCTGCCACTACAAATGCACATCATGTGCTCTGGGAACATCTCAGTCCCCCAGATACCTCAAAGCATAAAGGGAAGATCCCAAAGCATAATGCTAGATCCCATTTCTTTTCATAAACATTTGCCTAATGCATTTTTTTCCCCTCGACAGTTAACTACAGAGCCCAGTACTCTATATGTACTTCATTAGCATCTCATCAATTGATGGGAATTTGCCTTTTCTTTTTAAATAAACCAATCATCCTGTGAAATAGATATTAGAGATTTCCAAATTTGCCTTATAAGAGATCAAGTCTAAAAATAAGCAGGATAGTCCTTTCAGGCCAATGCATGCCAGTGCAGTACAGATACTAGCTACTTTGTCAGCCACATTAAGGTTGTGTAGAAACAGAAAAATCTACCTTATCTACCTGACCACATATCTGGAACTTCTGTGTCCAACCCAAAGTTGCCAAAAAAGCTGTACTTCAGTTGTCCAGATCCCTTAGAGAAGCCAGGCCAATGGCTGAGCCCACCACAAGCAACTCCACACTGAACAGGCAAAAAAACTTCTTGGTAGCATTAACCCTGCATTATACACCAAAAAAAGCCTCTAATTTGGATCTGCAGGCTCTCCTAATACTCAGACTGGCTTACACAACCAGCTACTGGCTGCTTTGTATCCACATACACTGTAAATGTACTCTACTAACTTTTGTAGTAATGGCAAGAGCTAAATCTAGTGCCAGTAACTCTCCCAAGCCATTCCTGTAATTCCTCATGCAGAAAAAAAGTTATCTGATCTTCACCCGTCCGGGAAGTGATCCCAAAGTGCGTCAGTGCAGCTACAAAGGATGTATTCTCAGAGACATCTGACAACTGCAGAACACTGTGTGCACAATGTGGAGGTCTTTACTTTATTAGAAATTCTCACATGCACACAAGTGGGAAACCGTCTTCCAACACGCAGCAGGAGGAGATAGTCTTCTGAAAGATATACTTTAGTTCAAAAGTAATTAAGCTGGACATTTATATCTACGCTTCATTTACCAATTTAACCCAGTGTTAAATTAAACTTAAATTTAACCTTAAATTAAATATTTATTCCAGAGAATTAAAATACTTCTATTACAAGAGACCATATTGGTTACTGCAGAGACCTGTTACAAGCAAAACCTCCACCTTGATCCAAGGTCACTATCCCGGCTCTGACTCAGAGACTCACGTACTCACTGTCAGTGAACTTTTTGGACTTGGCCATCATCAAAAAGCATCTGCCTAAAGGGGAACTACAACACCAGAACTATCAGCTGAAGGTCAGACTGCAAGATCCACAACAGTGCCACACACTGCAAATACACAGAATGCCTGACAGTTGCATGAACAGTTATGCAATGGCATCCTGGCATGCCACTGTACTCTGGAGGCACCAACATCAGCTCAGATTCCAGATCTAAGTAGGAAATACCGAATGTAATATTGGTGCCATCTTTCCTTTTGCATTCTTCTTCTGTGCTGAAACAATTGCAATATAAGTTGCAGTAACAGAGAACAACAACAAAATTTCCTTAAAAACAAAACAAAAAAAAAAAAAAAACAACAAAAAAACAAATCCCACAAATTGCTGTGCATCACCTGTACAGCAGTGACTTTTTCTGATCACAGATAGACTTTTGTTGTGAATCTCTTATTTTCTTTGAGGAGACATTTCTTTACACATCATTGGCTTGGCAACCCCAACAATACCTCAGGAAACACACAGCAATTTATTTTCACATAAATATTTTTCTGTCTGTGTAGGTGTAATTTAATCTGATCTCTCTTCACTTATCTTGAGCATGTCAGATAATTATCAATCCAACTCCCAGCTGCAGCTCCTACTCAGGTGCCACCCTCATAAACCTGTGTACCAGATTCACAGGTACACATTCATAGATTTGTAAGCACA